TTGCTCTTTTACTGTTTTAGTTTCAACCCACGCTGTTTGTATCCACGCTATTTGCATCTACGCCGCTCGTATGCACACTCTTTGTACCACGCCGTTTTGTTTTGTGGAGTTGTTTATTAAAGGCCAAAGAGAGTTTTTACGCTTATTGCAGTTTCACATGTATCACTTTACAATGACCCTCTCACAAATCTATTTTCGTGATAACAAGCGTTAATTTTGGTAATTTTTTTGAGCTCAAGACTCCTTATGATTCTTTTTTGGTCGTGAAATCATTATTCCAGACTGTCACTTGGATATTTTTATTATAATAGACATTGAGTGTTTAACAGGAAAATACACCAGTCATAAAGTTTATATGAAACAATATCAGGGACCTGAGTAGCGTATTTTCCATATCCTCACTAGCGAGGATATTAATGACATCATTTCCTGAGCTTTATCACGATAGTTTTTGAAAAAAGTCAGTTTGTCTACGGTAGATACTAAGGTAAAGTCTGTATACGGGCTAAGTGGCCCACCAAGTCGGCACTTATCCTGGTTTCTGTAGCATGAAGCGACTAGGAGTACATGTATTTCTACTCTCCCCTGGGAGGGATGCTAGTCTGTCGCAGGGTTACAGCCAGCATTAAGTTTGCTGGTACCCATTTATACACCTGGGTAGAGAGAGGCACTGTGAGAGTAAAGTGTCTTGCCCAAGAACACAATGCAATGTCCCCAGCCAGGGCTTGAACCTGGACCGCTTGATCCGGAGATGAGCACACTAACATGAGGCCACCCTAGTTTGTCTCTAATTGTAATAAAAAGAAAATTTATCTTGCATGGTGGCTTGAAGATATGAATTTTAACTTCTCCCATTAAAAAAAAATATTTTACTCACTCGCTGGGCTAATTCGTAAAATAATGTTTTGCGCTGCCGTGAAATATCATCTATTATAATCCATCAAATATTTTTGCTTGGGCCCAATTGGTTTAAAAGCATCATGTGACTTAATATCCCCCAGCTAAAACTGCATGAGTTGCGAAAAACAGTTGAAGGATAATAAACACAATAGCCTCCATTTGGCGTGAAAATATGCTCGGATATTTGTCTCTGGACATTATTTGTTACTCAAAGCTCACAGTTTTCCCAGAGCTACACTCTCAGAAAACTGTTCTCTCCTCCGAATTCGAGCATATTTTTGCGCCAAATTGAGCTATTGTTTATGCAAACTGTACAATCTTCTAACACTACCAAACTGAAAAGCTTCAATATATCTTTCTCATTAATACCCATTAAAGGGATGTGACATAAATTACCTTTTTTTTCCCCATTTTAGTGCAGTGCAGCATTATTACAATGTTTCCTAAATCAAACATTCTTGCCAATATAGTGGTCTATTGTAAATCCTAAGTGATTAGCAAGCACTACATTAGAGAATGTTTTCTTAATATTTTTACGCAAGGCTTTAGATGAGTTTTCTTTCAGCAGTAACTAGTTGTCATCCATTCTTTGGCAAGTCCTTTTTGTTTTGCTGTGAAATAAACTGTTCTTCACCTTAATGATTGTTACAGACATTTTCTGTTATTCCAGACCCTATTATATCAAGGGAAGGATTCAAACTTCCATGTTAAGTCA